TCCTGGCTACACAGGAGTTGCAGCGGTGGGAACGAAAGGTTGGAACAGTCCCGTTTTAGACTTAATAATTCTGCTTGTTGTCTGATAGAGACCTGACCTGATAAGGGACTGCGAGTTTTTTAAAAAAATATTGGAATTAAATTGATGCAGATTTGTATCCAATAAGAAGTTCTAGTGCTTCGAAAATGTGGCACTAATCTCTTGTGAAATTTCAGAGCGCAGAAGCCGTGCACAGTAACCGCCGCTGGGTTTGCCGACGTCAATTTGAAAGCTTTTATGAAGGTAGGCAAATGAAGAAGGAGTTTATTGTACTTACTTCTAGGTATTTTTTTAACCACAGCCGAGGTACTCTAAGGAAAAGTCGCTGGCAGAAGGTGGATGCGACAAAGCAAAGATAGTTTTTATGGGGCGTCCACACTGGGTGCACATGCTCGCACGGCACGCTGGTCATCCTGCTCACCCTGCTCTTGAGTGAGCAGGATGTCGATCGAAATCCTGCTCACTCAAGAGTGCCGCGCTAATATGCCGCCCAGTGTGCCGCGCGAGCCCGTGCTCTCAGTGTGGACGCACCATAAGGTGGCGCGTATTGAAGAACGCCATGTCCAGTGGACAATACAGACCTGTCCTGAATAATTTGTATTAGCTTGATTCGGATCTGAGTTTCTTACTTATTCTTCTCAGCACTGGTCCGTATCAGTGGTAGGGTGGCACCTGTAAAAGTGCTTTTAAAACAATGATTTTTACTTTTTGAATTTTGTGAATTAGTCTAAATATCTATTACATAATATTATCAGGGTCCATAATATTAGTGTTGAAAGGTAATTTTTTGTTGCAGATTCTTAGTTCGTCGTGGTCGTACTTCGCGCTCTTGCAAACAGTTTACAAGACATCTGAGAATTAAATCATCAAATCATCACCATACTAAGGCTTAGTTGCACCATCTTAATTTAACTTTGACAAACGTCAAAAATCTGTCAAATTCCATACAAAAAGCACCGGTTATTGTTCCGCCTAAGTTCACAGTTAGTTAACTAAGAAAATAGAAATGGGACTGATGAAAAGCATTTTTCTTGAAGTGATTCTGAAAAGTAGAGTGTAGTTAACTATGGGAAAAACTACACATCAAAGAAAGAAAACAATGCACTTAAAGGATGAAGGGAAATTGGAACTAATTTATTAAAACTTATAGATATTCCACAAGCTTTTGTTTTATTTATTTCTACCATTTTAATAAACACTCAACAAAAAACCTAAACACTTTTAAAAACCCACAAAAATTCGAGCTCACTTATAATGATTAAAAACTTAAGTAAATTAGTATGTACGCTAATAACAATATGTGCTGAAACCCATAATTATGTACTGTAAACTATATTTATGAAGTTAAAAATATTTAACTTACAAATGTGTAATTATGTAAAAACTTGGTTAATATTCCGTAATACTCGTAATTATTCTAAATTGCAGATCGCGTAATTTTTGTTTCCATTATGCTTGGAATCAATTAAATATAAAAATATTATTCGAAAACTTAAGAACGGCTGCACATTTAAGTTGTACTTACCTACTGTACATTTTGCCTTTTTACATTATTTTCTTAATTGATCCAGTAAAAGTTCATGCGTTAATATTTTGTTAATCGTTCAACTATTTTTATCCAATTGTTTTATTTATTATCTATGGGATTTACGCCCGTATTCACAAACATTACAATGAGGTCTCACAGTGCGCGTTGACGCACAGGGTGTANGTACTTTGTCCTTCCAGAGGTTGTGGTTCCTATTTGCATTCCGAGACATATTTTCTAATCTCTGTGTGAGTGATTCGCTTAAAGTATAGTCCAATAGTGTGGGTTATCTGCCAGACGAAGGCGGGTATTTTTTTCTTGACAGCAAGAAAGACCGGCGCCTCTCGCGATCAATTATTTACTAGACCAAGCAGTAACTTGAATAATGTACTTGATTAACTGTTAGTATATTAAGTTATCAACGGCATTAAGTTCGCCTTGTGTACCAATTTATATGGCATTAAAGAATAAATATTATAGTTAGTTCTTCTGTTATATGGTTTACTGATGGGTCAAAAATGGGCCCTAACGTAGGCTTTGGCGTGTATGGAGAGCAGCCGAAGCTTAGGCTATCTCAAAGCCTGAGTAAATTTGCCTCTATCTTTCAGAAGTCTACGCCATTATTGAATGTGCGGAAGCTAACCTGCGAAAAATTATACCAACCACATAATTTACATTAACTCAGACAGTCAGGCCACGATGATGGCCTTAAACTCCAACTTAATCACCTCAAAATTGGTAGAAAACTGCATGAGTCGACTGAATACCCTAGGAAAACGTAACAGAGTAACGCTGAGATGGGTTCCAGGTCACGCGGGAATCGTGGACAGTGAAAATGCCGACAAACTGGCCAGAGCGGGAGCGGAGGGAACACAATATGGTCCAGAACTCTTTTGTGGTATTCCCCAAGTCTCGCTCGAATGACCCTGGAGAACATCTATTTAAACAAAGAACATCTATTTAAACAAATCCTGTAAGGCATGGTCAGACACGCTAGGATTAACTCATTCCAAAGCTCTTATAAAAGCCTATGACCGAAAATGCTCAAAGCAGATCATAGGACTGAGTAGGATCAAAATGCGCATCTTAGTTCGAGCCTTCACTGGACACAGCAGCTTAAACAAGCACTTGTCCACTATAGAACTGTCCGAATCAAGAACGTGCAGGATGTGCCAACAGGCAGATGAAACGCCACTACACATTCTCACGGACTGCGGACCTTTGATGCGCAAGCGAAGCTTACACCTGGGCAAACACATCCTAAGCCCACAAGATGTAAAACATATCGCCCCCCAAAAGATACTGCAATTCATAATGGATGCAGGACTCGGAGGCGAACTGTAAGGAAAATAGCGGCGATCACAATAGATCGGTACCGGTCGCAGTAATACTAGGACTTTATTGAACTAGAATAGCCGCTCAACTCAATAAAAAAGTAGTTCTTCTGCGTTTGAAACACAAATTAGTACAGTATAGGAGAGGAATAAATTTCAAATAGTTTATACAGTATCAGTATCGGCGCGCCGACAGCTAGTCGTCGGCGGCGGCGGCGTGAAAAAATTCGCGGCGGCGGCGGCGCGCCGGCGTGGCGCCCACCTCTAACAGGGTGACACACGAACCAATCACAGAGCTCTATTCAACGCTGTGCGTTCGATTTACTGATTCACTTATGTAAACATCGTTTGTGAATACGGGCTTTAGGTCTCCTTTAGTAAAAGGGGACTTGTAAAATAAGGAACGGAGTTACATTCCTGTAGTTAGCGAATACCGGTACATTACAAGCTGTACCGTAGAATTCCTTCGCCCTTCTCCCAACATTAAACTCGCTATAATAAAGATAACATCATTTATTCAACGTAAAACTTGACGTAATTTTGAATCGGAACGCCAACATAACATTAAATGGAATTGCTTTGGGCACTGGCAGGTAGGCGAAATTCACGCACACTCTACAAAAAAGGTACGTTTTTCTAAGAATTCTGCCTTCCCGAGGTTTTGTAAGATTCTTTTTTGTCGTCTACAAGGATAGACAACCTTTTTTCCCACATTCTTCATAATGTTCCAGATTCGAAAACGAAATTTCATTCGAATTTCAAATCTCTTTTAGGAAAAAAAAAACTGTTTTATTTTCTTAGAACCGGTTATTGTTAAGGACCCTTCGGATTTTCGATTACATATGAGTTAATGTGAAAGTAGATAGGTAATGATAAAGAAGTGGTACAAGGTGGACCGACGACCTAATAAAGGTAGCAGGAAGGCGCTGGATGCAGGCCGATACCAATCGTGCGATGTGGAAGTCATTGGCGGAGGCCTATGTTCAGCAGTGGACGTCCTGTAGCTGAAATGATGATGATGAGGTAATGATAGTAATCTTTTTTCTAAAAAAAAAAGATGATAGGATTCCTAATCACAATAATCGTCTTTGTCAACTTTTGCTCTTTTGGAGTTTTCTCTGACAATGACCTCTGTTAAGTATTGAGTTCTTAACAATGAATGGTAGGTACTTTCTTTAAAACGCTAGTTACCATAGAAACTTGATAGAAATGAACAAGAGCTTGTTTTTAGTATTGGATCTCAATTTATGGGTCTTTGTAGGGGCCCACAAAATACGAATAATTCCGCTTAAAAATTGTAACAGGTGAACTCAAGTCACCGTAGAAAATTCTAACGCTCCTGTAGCCAGTAAAAAGTTATGCTTAGGGATCGCGAACCGGTTTCGCTCATACATATGCATGTGAAATGATACGGAATTAACCGTAAACTAGTGATGTGGCTGCTTGAAACGTTTGTGATAGTACCCAAGCAACTGCACTCAGGAGGGTTTGATGAGTGCTGCTGACAGCGCCACTCTTGTGGCGGAGTTTTGGGCTGACTCTGTGTAGGTTTGTTGTCGACACGAAAAGAAGAAGATGGAGTTTGTAGATAGACCACTGATTGACTTAGGTTATTTACTTAGCAGAGCACAACCCCAGTCTAATACCCAAAGCAAATAGAAAATTTGACCTACACTCGCCACCCTGGCCAGACGGGTTGAGGAGTCCCGATGTTCGCTTATTTTGTCCCTTAATCGCTTCTTACGACATCCACGAGCATAGAGCGAAGTTGAGGACCCCTCCCACTCTTTCCGTTACTGTTGATATCATGGAGAACCAGCAAAGTAGAAGTCCTTAGCTAAAAAACACATGGAGATGAATGTTCCTATTCACTCAGCTAAAATCCATACGCAGACAGATGAATGTAAGTACCTAGGTATGAGGAGGTGTACCAGCACAAGTTTAGACATCACTGGTCTCTTCCACACAGTATAATAATAAGCGAACAGGATAGTGTAATCAGGTATTAGATGGAAACTGCATCATTTTTTCATGCAAATTACCAAGTTCCAACTGGTTTTGATGGCCCTTACGACAAGTAATGCCAGTCATCATAGAAGATGGTCATTTCGGACTATAGGTTCTATGAAAATGTGCCTATCTACTGCCATTTAGGTACTTACGATCCATAGTGCCATAAGTGTACAGCTTCATTTAACTTCGCGCTCGGAGCTAGCAGCGGTTGGCGGTTGCGGGTTCGAAACTTTGAAATCATGGTACAATTTTAAATATTTGCGAGATGAACATTACTTTTTTTATTGGTATTATTGATTCCTCAGGGAGTTTTAACTACGCCGATACCGTCATAGGCGAATGTATCTATGGTTACACTAAAAAGGTCATTCAGCGGGTGCAGAATTCCTGCGCCCGATTCTGTTTCAACATCCCGCGTAGAGCCCATATCTCGCCTTTCCTCAATCAAGGAAACCTTCTTAATATGAAATCAAGACGTGCATTCCATTACGCGTGTTTACTATTTGGGGTTGTGCGTACTAAAAGTCCACCATATCTATATGAAAAGCTTTTACTTTNTTTTAAATACCTTCGCGAAGTAAACCTTCTGTACGAAGTACTTATTATTATTCTGTGGTTTAATTGATATTTTCACAAGATACGAGAGGTATTCAGTATAATAAACACTAAAATATAATTTCAGAAGGCGAGCTACCACCAGCAGAATCCACTGGGGTAGGCGGCAAAGCAGTGGTGGTCTCCATATCAGTAGCAGCCGCGTATATGCTGCTAGTCCTGGCGCTGATGTTCTACTGCAGAAGGAGACGGCTGCAGAGGCGACAGAGAGGTCAGATGAGTGTTATGACGTCACTGCTTGTAGGTGTCTCCATATCAGTAGCAGCCGCGTATATGCTGCTAGTCCTGGCGCTGATGTTCTACTGCAGAAGGAGACGGCTGCAGAGGCGACAGAGAGGTCAGATGAGTGTTATGACGTCACTGCTGTATGTAGGTGTCTCCATATCGGTGGCGGTCGCGTATACAGGGTGGAAACGATAAGTGATCTCACTCGATTATTTCTAAACTATACGAGGTATCGCAAAACTGGTTGGTTACTGATTCTAAAAGTGCTTCACGAGCTCTTTCAAACGGTACCAATAACAGGTTACAGAATAAATTGGAACTATCTGAAAATTCAATGTTTCCAGCTTCGCTGAAATAACAAACAGCGTTCCATACATAGAGATATAGAGAGATGCCAACTAATGCGCTGAGTTCGAAACTCAGTGTCGCATTAGAAATTGGCACGCACAAAGTAATCAAAATATGTGCTCATTATCCACTGCGGTATCAGTACTCAACGTTCGAATAATCTTTAGTGCTACGCAAGCAATGTAAACTGTTTACATTATGACGTCGCTGCTGTCATCATTGCTGTTACGAGCAATGTGTTCTGTTTTTGGGCATATTGCTGCGACACAGGCCCCGCCCCCTTGTCACATCTCCCTTTAGTTTCTGTGATCTGTGGTCCCATACTAACGTGACATCACGATTAGCTCATTCCATACTTGATGTGGGGGTTGAACCGGCTGCCTTTGGCAAACCACCTGACTAAGCGGCTAGTATACTAAATTAAAGTGACAATAAAAACATATCCAATTCTTCTCAGGCGAAAAAGAAGAATTAGAGATGGCAGAAGGCAGAGAGAAGTTGGTGGAAGAAGAAGAAGACAAACAGAAGATTGGCAACGGCGCTCCCGTGCAGAACGGCCGGCTGCTGCCCCACGATAGGGATAGCGGTAAGTTATATTCAAATTCAAATAATTATAAGTTTACTATTTTATCATCATCATCATTATTAGCATATCAGCCACAGACGTCCACTGCAGAACATAGGCCTCCCCCAATGATTTCCTCATCGCCCAGTTGATAAAACCCAGTCGCCGAGCAGATAAAATTTCGTACTATGACCCCAAGCCACCTTATAGGCTCGCCAGTAATTATAATGCTGTCGCGACTGTGCGACGGGCGGCCGCAGTGAGTGTGCGAGCGCGACAGCAATATAATTACGCGCGAGCGATAAGGATGGGTAAATGGGTAGCTTGGGGTCATTGGACGAAATTCTATCTGCTCGGCGACCAGATTTTAGCAGCCGCCCGCGACTTCTTACGCGTGGATCCCGCTTTACTCAGGGGTTGAATTTTGCATAATCCCGTCTTAGTGAACACTTACGTTCTAAAAGGAACCCCCATTCAAAATTTGAGACTCCTAGCACTTGCTTCATCCACAAAAACGCGTGTTTCGGCACCAAATTTATGTTGCTTATGACATAAATTAAATATAAAATGTATGAATTATTGAATTACTGAATAATGTATTGAAATATGGATGTTAAATGTATGAATAAAACGACGAATGTACTTTTCTCCGATAGAAAGACTTTAGACTCCATAGATCTTTTAATTTAAGGTGTCAAATGGTGTTAATAAACATCAAAAACTCAATAAATGAATAAATAAATTTACTTTTAAATTTTTATTTAGAGAAGAAAATAATTTCTTTCCTATGAACCTCATATCTTATTTGTTAAAGGTGCGGACAACTCAGAAGTGTCGGGGGTGTCCCGCGCTTCGAAGAAATCGGGACAGTACGACCATCTCACTGTCCCGAGGGGCTTGCTGACCGAACTAGTGACGCTTGGTAAGTGACATCTTTAAATTCATAAAATTATTTTCAAAATGTCTGAATAAGTAATATTTTAAAAAGCGAGCTCAAATGCCGGTCACAAACACATTATGAAGTTATTGGCAAATATTTGTACAAAATATTTATGTTCTGTTCTGTTGCTCTGTTGCTATACGTTGTACTCATCAAAGGAACTTTAGTCCATTATGTGCCTTAACGTAGCTAAAACTGTAACAAAAATGTTTGCGAAACATATATGGGAAGTCGTATTTTTAACTGACTTAAGCTTTTAAAGGTGGATTTATATTTGTCTGACATGTGTCGTGACGCATCAGAACACAATCGGTTTTATAGTTATACATTTTGTGTGGCAATGTCAGAAGCCATCACGACACGACACAACACAAGTTTAAAGCTTAGTTGCACCATACTCAATACTCAATAGTTTATTTTGCATGACCACATTAGCATTCACATTACTTTAACTTTAACAAACGTCAAAAATCTGTCAAACTCTGTACAAAAAAAATACCGGTTACCGTTATAGTTACGGTCAAAGTTAAGTGGTGCAACTCAGCCTAAAAATATATATATAACAGATTCTGTTCAGATGCGTCACGACAAAACACATCAGACAAATATAAATCCACCTTATTATTGTTGTCATGGCGACTTTTTCTTTAATTTATATCTTATTGTAAATCATAGGTCGTGGAGAATTCGGCGAGGTGTCACTAGCGAAGATAGATGTGAACCAAGTGCGGAAGCTCCGCAAGAAAGAGGTGGAAAACGCGGAGCCGATCATGACTCATGTTTTGGTTAAGGCTTTGACAGCTAAGGACGAGGTAAGAAGACCCATAGGATAGTTTCCTAAAAAAAAGTTTTTAATCCGTCAATTATATTATTAAAAAATATTGGACACGTATATTTTTATTTGACAATCTAACAAGTAATTATGAAGTTATGGTGCGTTGAAGTTTCGCGTGACGTCACACCGTGCTACACTTAACCATCCCTTGACGTCACGGGCCTCTTCTTTTGCACTTTGGCGCGCTTTCTCTCTGTCAATATTTATTCGTTTGAAAAGTGAAATAGAAAAATATGTGTCGAGTATTTTTTGATAAGTTAACTGACGAATTAATTCAAATTTTGCTTTATTACCCAGAAAACACCCCTATTCTATTAATGCTATAGATGGATTTTTTACTTTTTCACGCAGTTGATTGATGGTTGTATTTTGCCTTAGGTCCAACTGGCCGAGTTTCGGCGGCAACTGGACTTATTCGGCCGAATCCGCCACGAGAACATAGTCCGGCTCATCGGCCTATGTAACGATGCCGAACCACACTATATGCTGCTAGAACACACTGAGTGGGTGAGTTGTGTTTATTATTTATGCTGGAACTTACTTAAGTGAGTGAGTTGTGTTTATAACTAGTTAGGGACGCACTGAGTGTGTTTGAGGTGCGTTTGTATCTAGTCAAGACCACGCTTGACTAGGCGAGTTGTAATTTTATAGTTAGTTTATTAAGACACATTGAGATGATGAGTTGTGTTTACAACTAGTCTAGGAGTGGGTGAGATGTGTTTATAAGTGGTCTAGGAGCGGGTGAGATGTGTTTATAACTAGTCTGAAAATGCTGGGTGAGTTGTGTTTATAACTAAAGCCCGGTCTGTGAGCACGTAGAATTTTGTCCAATGACCCCAAGCTACCCATCCTTATCGCTCGCGCGTAATTATATTGCTGTCGCGACTGTGCGACGGGCGCCCGTAGTGAGTGTGCGAGCGCGACAGCAACATAATTACGCGCGAACGATAAGGATGCGTAGCTTGGGGTCATTGGACAAAATTCTACGTGCTCACAGACCAGACTATAGTCTGAAAAGTTCTGGGTGGGTGAGTTTTGTTTACAACTAGTCTAGGTGTTAGAGTTGTGTTTACTACTGGGCTTATATTATTACATCATGCAACCTCTGCAGTTGCTTTGCACTTTGTCTATGATTAAATAGTATTTCGACCGGAATACTTCCAAAACTGGAATGCAATACTTATTTATACTTTTTCCTTCCCCAGGGCGACCTAAAGAACTTCCTAATCGCCACCCGGACCCCAGAAGAGTCCGAAGAGTATTTATCCCGAGCGGGCACCGCGCACCCGCGGCCCGTGGTCTCTCGGGCCGCGCCGCCGCTGTCCGCGCAGCATCGGGCGTTGCTTGCTGCTCATTTGGCAGCCGCCGCCAGCCGCTTGGCTGGGAAACGACTTACGCACAGGTGAGGCACCAAGATGGTGACGTCATCATCATCACCATAGTGACTGCTCAAACTTGACTGGATGGATTTCGTTGCTTTACCAGGAAAGGGCTTACTCACAGGTCAGTCATCATCATCATCATCATCCTATGATGAGTATGATAATCACTATGAACTGCTCAATCATCACTGCTTGAGTCTCATTACCTAGACGGGATTCGACTCACTCAAGGTGAGGCACTAATATGGTGACGTCATCATCATCGCCATAGGGAGGGACTGCTCACTCACAGGTTATGCATCATCATCATCATCATGGACTACTCACTCAACCTTCAGTCAGTCACCAGCTGGAAAGAGCTCACTCACAGGTCAGTCTCTAAGATGATGATGATGACGTCATCATCACCATCATAGAGACTGCTCATTCTTCACTGCTTGGGTTTCATTGCCTATATGGGCGATTGCAACATTGTTTAGTCATCATCATCACTATCATCATCAATATCATCACCATTATCAAAGGAGTAAGTATTCAACCTGTGAAAGTTGGTTGGGAAACGGAATACACAGTCTTAACATTATCATCACCCCTTCATCATCATCATCATCAGTCATCACCTTCATCATAACAGCAACTCTACATGCCTGGATGTGAAATGGCTCACACCAAAGTCAGTTGAGGTCATTACCATCATTGTCACCATCATCATCACCACCCTACTCCTACTAAAGACCATCACCACCATGATCACGAGTCCGAGGAGTACCTCTCTCGAGCGGGCACCGCGCACCCGCGGCCCGTGGTCTCTCGGGCCGCGCCGCCGCTGTCCGCGCAGCATCGGGCGTTGCTTGCTGCTCATTTGGCAGCCGCCGCCAGCCGCTTGGCTGGGAAACGTCTCACTCACAGGTCAGTCTTCCCCATCATCATCATAGGGACTGCTCAACCTTGACTGGATTGGTTTGATTACCTTAACGAGACATGATTTATAGCTGAGGCGTCTTCATCATCAACAAGATAGTGTCTAGTTGGGTTAAAGGTGGCTGCGAAGCGACTCACTCAGGTCATTTATCATCATCATCATCACCATTGTCATCATCAATGACTCAACCTGTCTGGATCGGAATAGGCTCACGCACAGGTGAACAGGATCATCATTGTCATCACCACTATCATCATCATCACCATTATCAAAGGAGTACCTAAGTATCTATGAAAATTGGTTGGGAAACAGAATACACAGCTTTATCATCATCATCACCACCTTCATCATCATCAGTCATCACCATTATGATTAGAACAACTAAACATGTCTGGGTAAGAAATGGCTCACACTAAAGCTAGTTTAGATCATCATCATTATTGTCACCATCATCATCACCACCCTACTCCTACTAGAGACCATCAGTCATCATCATGAGTCCGAAGAGTATCTATCCCGGGCGGGCACCGCGCACCCGCGGCCCGTGGTCTCTCGGGCCGCGCCGCCGCTGTCCGCGCAGCATCGGGCGTTGCTTGCTGCTCATTTGGCAGCCGCCGCCAGCCGCTTGGCTGGGAAACGTCTTACGCACAGGTGAAGCACCAAGATAATGAAGATGATGACGTCATCATCTTCATCACCACCACAATAGGGAGACAATTCAACCTTGACTGGATGGATTTCATTGCTTTATCAGGAAAAGGCTTACACACAGGTCAGTGCTCATCATAGATACTACTTCAGTGGTACTACTTTTCTAACTAGAGGGGTTTCATTGCCTGGCTGGGAAACGACTTACTCACAGGTGAGGCACCAAGATGATGACGTCATCATCATCACCATAGGGACTGCTCAAACTTAAACTTGACTGGATGGATTATATTGCTTGACCAGGAAGGGGCTTACTCACAGGTGAAGCTTCATCATCATCATCATTATAGACTACTCAACCTTCAGCCGGAAAGAGCACACTCACAGGTCAGTCTCTAAGATGACGATGATGATGACGTCATCATCATCATCGAGGCTGTTCATACGTCACTGCTTGGGTTTCTTTGCCTATATGGGCGATTCCAACATTGTTTAGTCATCATCATCACTATCATCATCAATAAATAAATAAATAATAAATAAATATCTTTGGACAATCTCACACAGCGCCATCTAGCCCCAAAGTAAGCAATTAATATGCTTGTGTTATGGGTGCTAGCCTAACGGATATACTACTTATATACATATCATCACCATTATCAAAGGAGTAAATATTCAACCTGTCAAAGTTGGTTGGGAAACGGGATAAACAGCCTTAACATCATCATCATCAGTCACCACCATTATCATTAGAACAACTCAACCTGTCTGGATGTGAAATGGCTCACACCAAAGTCAGTTTAGGTAGGTCATCATCATCATTGTCACCACCATCATCACCAGTTTTCTCCTACTAGAGACCATCAATCATCATCACTAGTCCGAAGAGTACCTCTCCCGAGCGGGCCCCGCGCACCCGCGGCCCGTGGTCTCTCGGGCCGCGCCGCCGCTGTCCGCGCAGCATCGGGCGTTGCTTGCTGCTCATTTGGCAGCCGCTGCCAGCCGCTTGGCTGCGAAACGACTCACTCATAGGTAAGTTTAGTGATATTTGTTTACGTATAGAATTTGCGAACCAAAAAAAATTATAGGTTAGATTAAACTTGATTTTTTTTTTATGTTTACTACCCGCTCTTATGTTATAACGAGATAAAACTTACCAAATTCAAAATAAATCACTCGAAAACTCGCCACCACAACAAAACAAAAAAACTAACAGCAAACAAACAAGCGAGCGAATCACGACATTGGCTCTGATCGGATTCAGTCACTCATTCAACGCGCCGAACATGACCGATAACAGCGCGGAAACTCCTGAATGCACATTCGGTTTCGGTCGTAGTTTCGGCAAGTTTGCCGCCGAAAACGAAACTAAACCGAAACTCGTGTTTTTACCGAAACTCAACCGAAAACGAAACCGAAACCGAACATTCGGTCGGACACTAGTTTAGTGATAATGGTGACGTCATAATCATCATCGCCATCACCATCCTATGATAAGTATGATAATAGTCTAGTCCCTATAATCTGCTCATCTAACACTGCTTGGGTTCCATTACCTAGACCAGTCTTTCCCAAAGTGGGCGATAACGCCCCAGAAAAAAATCGGGACGTTGTGTAAAGCAGGGTTTCCCAATTTTTTTGCCAAGGAACCCTAATTGATTATACTTTTCCTAGCGGAACCCCCGTACTACTCCGCCCGCACGCCCTGCCCCTCCCTTGTGATACAAAACGTGGGATAATATTTTTTACGGAACCCTTGCGGCCTTTTCACGGAACCCCAGGGTTCCGCGGACCACCTTTCGGGAACCGCTGGTGTAGAGGCTTGGGAGGCGTCATCTACTAGGAGGACTCTTAGACATCGACTGAGCTCGACTCCTGACTAAAAAATTGGGGGCGCTAAAAATAATTTATTCTCAAAGTGGGCAGTAGACGAAATAAGTTTGGGAACCGCTGACCTAGACGAGAAACGCACACGCACAGATTGAATCTTCATCATCATCACATCATCATTGTGACTGATCAACCTTCAATGAGTCGCCAGCCGAAAAGCAGCTCACTTATAGGTAAGTCGCGGTCATCGTCTTCATCATCATCACAACTTTTATCATCATCACCAACATCAAAAGGAGTATTGAACCTTCACTGGTTGGGAAACGGATTACATTTAGCATCATTTAGTGAGTTTGGATCATCAGCATAAAGAGGCACTCAAACTACCCTAGATGGGTTTTATTGCTTGGCTGAGTAGCGGCTCACTCACAGGTATGTCGGGGTCATCATAATAGTCATCGTCATCTAATAATGATGACGACGTTATCTCTAACACCATCAATTCTTCATCATCAGTATTACTACTTCAATACAGTTTGGCTTTCATTGGAAGCCAAACTGTATTGAACTGTAGATCCAGGCCATACAGAAGTGCGAAAGAGCGGTGGAATTTTTATTTATTACATAGAAATTAGTCAGATATTTATTACATAGAGCAAGCCACGAAGTGAACCGCCAAGGCATTTGAATTTTATAAATGGCCTTATGAATTTATAGCCTGACCAGGAACATAAAAACCCTGGCATAGAGGCGCGTCAATTGCATTTGATAGTGCAACACTGAGTACAGTCGTACCTGTGTTAAATTAATAGGCTAACTTTATGTATCAGGATTCAGGATTACGTGCTAATTTGATATTTTCATAAATTAACGAAAAAATATTATTTTAAGTAACCTGATTTAAATAAATTAAATGAAACCATCAATCGAGCTAGTAGAATTTATTTTATTATTCATCAATAATCAAATTCAGAACTTGAATATTCAACTGCAATATCTGCTCATGAACGCTTCAAACTCGGTACTTCTTTCCCAATCCCATAAAATTCAACACTTAGAAAGTGACAAAAATTTTTAAAATAGGTAGTTGAAACAAACCACAGCTAATTTTCATAGTGGACTGTACTATACGATAAACATGTCAGTCAATTTGACAACCTTTGTCGGAAACATTATTCAATGAAAATATTGTCCGAACCCTTAGTATTTCTCTTCGACAAATACTTTAACACATTGTGAACCACTTTTCTTTCACGACTATAAAAATATTTTAGCAATTTAATTCATAAAACCAATTGCGCACATTTAAAATAAAGTTTGTTTACACTTTGACAGCAATAGACTGACATGCAAGGTGACATGTCAATGAAGTTTTCAGTTACTGTTGCCATTAAAAGAAATTAGTACCATTAGTTTTCCGCAACATGGCGAGGGTTTTTATGTTCCTGGTCGGTTGCGGAGCGATAATTGTGTAAGGTTGTTCATGGATGGAAAATGAATACAATTATTATTGATCATATAAATTTGAAAAGTGACCAGTCGTATAAAAACGTTTCATGGATTATTTGCGTTTTATTATCGAAAAACATTTGCTAAAACTCATTTTTTTTAACAAATAATAAATCAAATTCAAGTTTAAATGCACTTTAACCTATTTTTCATTTTAAATCAAAACATTATGTTATAGGCATCATGGAAAAGTAATATTATGCAAGAAACATTCCAAACGCATTATGCCAAATTATATTAATATATGAATGATATCAAAACGTTCAAAACTTTGGCTATACACGAGCACAAGATGTTGTTCTCTTTTATGAAATTTGTTAGTACTAAGGTTGAATTATTAAATAATCACTGTTAAATGTGATTAATTTATCACTTTTACCGCGACTGTCGGTAATTATTCATAATAACCGGTTATTATTAATAATTATCAATAATTTATCACATTAACCGTAACTTCTGAAAAATCACCTAAAAGTAACCTTTTCATTAGTGTAACCTAAAAGTAACCACAGCAGTTCAAAAGTAACCTAAAAGGTTACAAAAGTAACCTTCTGGCAACACTGATAAAGAGCGACAAAATCTAATTTACCAAAAAGTAGTCCGAAAAGTGCTGCCATCTATTATCAGTTTTTCTTATTAGTTAAGTCGATAAAACAGTTTGATAAAAGTGGCGCCAGTGCTGCTTTACCGACTTTATCAAGACTGACTGACAATCTGTCATGGCGTGTTGAAGAAGTGTACATTTTTGTGCACGGTAAAACATAAATAATGATTCCTAGACGAATTATTACACTAGTTAACGTCAAATTATTCAGTGGTTACTGTAAAGTATCATGATCAATGTGCATTAGTTTTATTTAGACGTAAGTGTGAGTTAAAATGGACAAGAAAAATGCGATTCGCAGGGCCAAACGGCAGTCGAAAGTGCTTGAAGAAAATTATTGGGATTGTAGTGTTTGTACGTACAGAAACAACGCAGAAGCCTTCAAATGTTCGATGTGCGACGTCAGGAAAGGTATTTCTGTAGTTTAATTACCTTTAAACCCGTTCCTGTGTCTTCATTTTCTTAAGTAGACATGCCTAACTTACAGTTCTTCTCACATCGATTTTGTAGTCTACTTCGTATTGGACTAGGTCAAAACGAATTTGTCGAAGAGAATAACCAGTTTCCCAATTGTAACAAGGTACATTTCATGTTATTTGTAAGCCAGATTCTAAAATCAAAGGTGTCTTAGAACAAACAAATTTTCTCATTCTGTTAGCCAGCTAATAGTCAATCCCTCTGACCAAAATTCTAAGCTCCAAGTAGAAATCAATGGGTTTTTGAATTTATCAATAAAATGGGTTGATATAATAATTTAAATTTACTATTGAAATCATAATTTTATTTAAGTTTGAGCTTTAAAATTGACATAGAAAATAAAAAAAATTTCCTCAATCAATACTTGTCTGCCAAATGTTACCTAATATAGTTTGACTACTAAAACATTAAAAATTCAAAGCAAAATTCTGTGAGAACTCGAAGAAATTTATTTCAATTGGAAAATTTCAACAATCAAACTGATGAGCTATTTTGTGAATTAAATTATTTTATGAATTTTTTTTTGCGGATTCAATTGAATCAACAAAACTATTGTTAAATAATTTATAAATTACTAGTTTATTTAAATTGAAAAACATTAAAATGCTGCCATACACATTTTATTATTTTTCTTTATATTTCATTGTACACTGTGATTTCACCGTTACAGAATAAATTTCCCCATTATTATCTTCTGCATTAAGCGAGTTTGGTTTAATGTATGAAATTATTGTATAAAGCTATGAATGTAATTTATCTTTCCCTAGTAGGTATTGGCAGTGGGCATCTAATGTATTTATGACTAGCTGCCCCGGCGATTTTCGTACCACCTATTTTCACCAGAAATAATGCAGGATTCTACTCTTTTGCAAATCAGTCCAGTAGTTTCGGAGCCTATTCAACATCAAAAAACAATCAAATAATATTTCCTCTATAATATTATTGTAGAAAAGCAATTAAATTTTTACATAGTACCTAGATATTTTGCATTTTTAGGGTTCCGTAGTCCTGACAAGGAACCCTTATAGTTTCGATATACAGTGTGAGTCACGTTAAAGTGTACATATGAAAATAGATGAAACTAGACCTGTTTTTATCGACAAAAAAGAGGTCAAAAAATTTTTGAGATTTTTTTTAAATTTTTTATAGAATTTTTTTTCTTCCAATTACTTATTGTAAAGAAAACGTAATAACTTTTAAACTAAGCAGTATATCCTGATAAAATAAAAACAGTAATAATGCTAAATAACAGGGGATACTAAAAAAATACATACAATACACAAAAAATGCCAACAAATAATAAAAAATGATACTTTTTGAAAAAAATCTGCTTAAAAATTCGTGTTTTTTTGGTTATTTGATAAATTTCTCCGAAAAATGCCCCTATAACAGGAGGTTTTTATTATTTTGTATTATTCTCTATTGTATTACCTTTGTAAAACCAAAAATTGCATGTCTCTATCCCTATCACAACGNTTCTGTCACGTTAGTTTTGTGGCACAAAATATTGCCTGTTTTGGACCATTTCAAATTAATTTAATGTTAAAATACGATTTAATACGAATAAAGACATCATGAGTTTCAATAATATGGATAAATACACTTATGAGTAATAAATTTATGAAAACAAATATTAGGATACATCACATTTATGAATATTATAGTTATTTATTCGAATGATTATGAGCTTCGATCATTAGTATAGAAAAATATATGAAAACAAATATTAGTAAAAACTAAGTGTATGATTAGTGATATTATGAATATCAATGATTATGTTTTTAAATATGTAGGTTTTAAATTTTTTATGAAGAATGATCATTATGGTATCAAATTGTATGAGAAATATTTTCGGAAATCCAATGATAGGAATTGAAAAGTTATGTAAGAAAATGCGCTACCGTGCATAATATATGGCGTTACTATGAAAGGCTCGTACCGTATATGTTCTGGTTTAAAATGGAGGAATGTTTGATATGTTTCTACACACTTTATTTGGGTAACGAAGTTATTCGTGATAAATGATATGGCTTTATCAAAGTTCGCGGTAGTTTCCTTATTTGTTTGTACTCTACTTGAAAGCCTGGTATTAGAAGTAATAAAATTGTTAGTCATTAAGTTTTATTTGTGATCAGAGAAAGTAACGTAAAAGAAAAGCTGGGGTCAATTTCGCGCCATTCGTCAAAAAAAAAGTCTCATACCGAAGAGAATTTGGTAGTTGGCACCACCAATCGATGGTCACGCTTTTTATGAGCTTACAAAATGCAATTTTTCAGTGATCATTATCAATTCAAACTCTATGATTGAAAATTGATGGAGTTTCAGGCATAAAACGAAGTTATGATTTCCAGATACTATTCACATTTCTTTATTGCTTATTATCATCATCATCATCATCAACAGCCCTTTACAGTCCACTGCTGGACTATGAGCCTCCTCCACTATAGTGGAGGGTTTTGCCATAATCTCCACGCTTGGCAGGCGGGTTGGAGATCGCAGTTTAAAAGATTGATGTTTTTCAGAGAGCGCTGCTGCCCATTCTCTGTTTGATGTGTAGTCCCTAAGTCGCCTCTTACGACACTTTTCACTTAAGTAAGACTATGTTCCTGTTTTCTGCTTTGGCAAAATTAAAATTAAATGTAAGCCATTATGTATTTTATATTTTTGTGTTCGCCTTAATAGTGATAAAGGCTACTAAACACTTCCGAATACTCGACTATTTATTATTACCATTTTGTATGCCCTTTCTGAAACCACATGTCAAAGGAACAGCCGTGGGAGGAAACCCGGTAATGTTCTCGAAACTAGCCAAAGGCGATGGGTAGATGAGCAATTCTAAACTTGTCAATGAAATGAGCACAAAGTTGGATCAAAAGTTGGGTTTGACTCGCTCAGAAAGCTTTTCCGTCTCAAACTGTATGTGTAATGGGACTATTATATTCACTACTTTAGTGTAGGATCCATCCAGTATCCACTAGTTTATGTACAGTCAGGAAAACACTTTTGATAATTAGAAAAACAGTGTAGGGAATCGCAAAAGTGACTGAGTTTCTTCCGCCACTTCGCGAGCCGCCAGCCGATATGTCCCGAAGTGGTGGTAGGTCAAGCTATGTTTGGGACGTGTATAATAATTGCCTTGGAAAGGGCCTACATACTAATAAATTATTAGAATTTGTTCCTAAATCCCTGTGGTCTGTAACAGTAACTGTTACATAAGTCCACAAATCCTGTATCTTACTAGTTTTGAGGATATTCTGTTCTAAAGAACAAGTTGATGAACTTGACCAATGAAAGTTTTAATTCAATCAAGAGTTCAGAGTACTTCAGAGCGAATATTCTTGCCAAATTGAAATGGCAAGCGACTTGATCGTCTTATAAAGTTTGTCAAAACTATGGTTAGTGATTAGTTGGCAATGAGCTGCGACTATTGTTCAGATGTCTTTTGTATTGTTGTATAGAAACATTTACATTTTAGTTTTGAACTGCTAAAAAAAAATTCATGAACATTAGTTTCAGAGGACCAAATACTTAATGGCCTCGTAAAACTAATCATCTATGTATGGAAAACCAAACGTATCAATCTAAACACTTTAATAGTTGTTATCGGTATTTTTTGCAACAAAAATGTGTACTTTGAATGTGCCAGTAAAGCTGCACGAAGCAATCGAATATTTCCCCAGTTGCAGAATAAAAAACAACTTCGGCAAATCACTGCCGAGCGCGAAGTAAAATATGAACAGTCATAGCCAGATAGCTTTCAAACAAAAATGCCTCGTGAAAACTACCCCAATATTGCCTGAAACGAAAACGTAGTTCCTCGCTACACTTAAATCTTTCCCATTGTGCTTTTGTTTCAACTTCCAACCCCAGGTTTCGGGGTCTACAAATTGTTTATGCGAATTTCACCTTTATTTGCAAAGGCATAAACGCCGTATTGGTGTGCCCACAAGTTTGCTCAGTCGACTGTTTTGGGACGCATAGACTACAATATACAACTCCCCATGAGGTTGTGTGTTGCGGCCGTAATAGGTATAAACAGAGATTTCGGTCGAAAATAGAAGTTAGAATGCTGGTGTAACATGTTTTAGTGGGTAGTTTGCAAATGGACATTTTATTTATGCAGACTGTTATGTACCACAAACCACAAATCGCATCTGTTTTGTCTTGAATTGTTGTTGCCCTAAAATGTGCTTGCAATTCGTTTCCATTTTCTATGTTGCTCGAAAACATTTACAACATTTCAAATGTTATCCACGAGTTTTGTGAAAGTTTGATGTAAGAATTCAATTAAGAAACCTATGAGGCTCAGTTGTAGAACTACCTACTGATCATTGTGAGGCAGGAATCAGAACTACTGGCAATATAAGGCAAGAAATCTAACCTAGATAGATACGTCTAAAACTTAACTCGTTCCTTCTTAGGCACGTCAACGCGCAAACCTCGCATCAACCCGGCGCTCGTGGCGGCTCAAGCGGCCGGCACAGCGCCCACCAGCTCACAGAAACGGCCGCGGTCGGCCAACTCGCTCAAGAAGAAGCGACGGCATCCACCACGGCTTAGCAACGTGGATCGGAGCTCGGCGCAAACCAGAGAGGTGAGCCACGCGATAATAAACCCTATTGCTCGCTACTTATAGTCCCAGGATCTGATAAGGAGCTCCCAAGTCCATAGAAGCGATAATGGCCGGCGAACTCCTTCAAGAAGAAGCGACGGCATCCACCACGGCTTAGCAACGTGGATAGGATAGGAGCTCGACGCAAACCAGAGGTAAGCCACGTGATAATGGACCCTAATCCTTGCTACTGAGAGCATCATCATCTCTCAGGATCTGATAAAGAGCTCGCAAGTTCATAGAAGCGATAATGGACCGCCAACTCCCTCAACAAGAAGCGACGGCATCCACCACGGCTTAGCAACGTGGATAGGATAGGAGCTCGACGCAAACCAGAGGTAAGCCACGTGATAATGGACCCTAATCCTTGCTACTGAGAGCATCATCATCTCTCAGGATCTGATAAAGAGCTCGCAAGTTCATAGAAGCGATAATGGACCGCCAACTCCCTCAACAAGAAGCGACGGCATCCACCACGGCTTAGCAACGTGGATAGGATAGGAGCTCGACGCAAACCAGAGGTAAGCCACGTGATAATGGACCCTAATCCTTGCTACTGAGAGCATCATCATCTCTCAGGATCTGATAAAGAGCTCGCAAGTTCATAGAAGCGATAATGGACCGCCAACTCCCTCAACAAGAAGCGACGGCATCCACCACGGCTTAGCAACGTGGATAGGATAGGAGCTCGACGCAAACCAGAGGTAAGCCACGTGATAATGGACCCTAATCCTTGCTACTGAGAGCATCATCATCTCTCAGGATCTGATAAAGAGCTCGCAAGTTCATAGAAGCGATAATGGACCGCCAACTCCCTCAAGAAGTAGCGACGGCATCCACCACGGCTTAGCAACGTGGATAGGAGCTCGGCACAGACCAGAGAGGTGAGCCACGCGATAATGAACTTTATTCCTCGCTACTTATAATCCCAAGATCTGATAAGGAGCTCCCAAGTCCATAGAAGCGATAATGGTCGGCCAACTCCCTCAAAAAGAAGCCACGGCATCCACCACGGCTTAGCAACGTGGATAGGAGCTCGGCGCAGACCAGAGAGGTAAGCCACGCGATAATGAACCCTAATATTAGCTACTAAAAGCCCCAGGATCCGATAAAAAGCTCACAACTTCATAGAAGTGATAATGGTCGGTCAACTCATTAAAGAAGTGCAGGCATCCACCACGGCTTAGCAACGTGAATAGGAGCTCGGCGCAGACCAGAGAGGTGAGCTACGCGACAATAAACCCTATTGCTCGATACTTATAGTCTCAGGATCTGATAAGGAGCTCCTAACTCCTAAGCTCATAAAAGCTATAATGGTCGGTCGGCCAACTCCCTCAAGAAGAAGCGACGGCATCCACCACGGCTTAGCAACGTGGATAGGAGCTCGGCGCAGACCAGAGAGGTAAGCCACGCGATATTGAACCCTATGATCCTAGCTACTAAGAGCCCCAGGATCTGATAACATAAGGAGCTCCCAAGTCCATAGAAGCGATAATGGTCGGCCAACTCCCTCAAGAAAAAGCGACAGCATCCACCACGGCTTAGCAACGTAGATAGGAGCTCGGCGCAGACCAGAGAAGTGAGCCACGCGATAATGAACTTTATTCCTCGCTACTTAGAGCCCCAGGAGCTAATAAGGAGCTCCTAACTCCTAAGCTCATAGAAGCAATAATGGTCGACTAACTCCCTCAAGAAGAAGTGACGGCATCCACCACGGCTTAGCAACGTGGATAAGAGTTCGGCGCAAACCTGAGAGGTAAGCCATGCGATATTGAGCCCTAATCCTAGAGCTATTAAGGGCCTCACCATCACTCAGGATCCTCACGTCACTCAAATCCATACAAAAAATGTTTGTCCTGCCCTCTGCCACTTAAGTTTGGAAAATCAGCAGCCTATGTGGTTATTTTGGTTCTCCTACTTCCTTCAGCTATACTCTTCAATAAGACTAAGCAGACCGTTTGTCACCAGGTAACCGTCAGCGGCGTGACTGTAGTCATAACGGAATACAAACCGAAGAAGTCCGTGTCGAGTAGTTCCAGCGACGTCGAGTCTTCGAACGACGCGAGACCATGATGCACCATCAACCCTCTATACCCCATTATTCGTCTCACGCCTTTGCCGTTGGATGTATTGAAACACTAAGATAAGTCCTAAGTTTAAGCCTAATAGGGATGTTTCCTGGATAAAAGCAAGAGTTTGAATTTGTCCGTCAGTTAACTTATCAAAAAATACTCGACACGTATTTTCGCTTTTTTTAACCAATTTAAAGAGATAAAGCGCTCCAAAGTTCAAAAGGAAAGGCCCGTCGCACAGTGGTCCCGATTTAATAAAACATGGACATTGATGCTAGAGGCACGAAAATTTTTTTGATGGTTACTGCTATGATAACTAATACGGCAAAAAAATATTACAATCCTACGACGTCTATTTCGTAGTAAAAAAAAATATATACATATTTTTTGTATGGAAGAAATTACGTTTCTGTCAATTTTTCGAAATTCTTTAACGATGTCAAGATGCCGATCACACATGTTATAAAACAAGTGATTCTGAGTATTTCATGCGAAGATACTTGTCACTTATCTCTGCGTACTTTTGAGTTATCGAGGGTTGAAAAATCGATTTTTTTATATTAAATATTTCCACGAAAAATTGCCAAAATTACAATATGGTGTATAAGGGACACCTTTGATGACACATAACAACGACTCGCACTCGCGCGCGCTCGTATGCATCAGCTTTTAATAAAATAAAAAAAAAAATTAAGGGAAATACTTAATACAACGTTGTATGTATAGGTCCGCTGGCCGTCAAAAAGTAGCTTATACGAGAGGTTGCCCAATTTACAATATGTCCATCATTGATAACTCACACAAATATCGTCTCTCTCTGAAGGATAACAAGTTTTTTTTGTTTCCAGAAGCTCTTGATAGGATGGAAGCCCATAAATACTCTCTGAAGCGAGAATGAATCTCAAATTGCGATATTGCCATTTTGACAAATTACATGATGTAACTAGCGCTAACGTTTATCTTCAGGTAGACACAGTTTTAAGTTAAAAGATTGTCTACTATTTCACACTGTTCTTCGTTTTGGAACAGTTCTTTGATTATAGGTAGTCGCTAATTTCGTTTTGTTAGACTCTTTCAGTTTAGCACATAAAGCGTAAACTAATTCCTCCTCAGAATGATCTAAAAGTGTTAGAGAGCGCCTCTTCTTCTGCAGAAGAAGAATTTTGCATAAATCTTCAAAAGGTTTTTTATTTATACCAGAAGTCGATGGTTGCACATCTACTTCCGCAGTCTCATCAACTGGAGCGTCTTCCTCAGTATTAACGTTGTCTATGCGTTGTGTTAACTCGGTAAAAAACATTGTTTAAATCTATATTTTTACAATTCGGCCAGACAATTTCAGAGTCTAGCCAATGCGAATTCTGGTGCAAAAATGTCTTTTGGGCTCTGCTGGAAGCAGACCATATCTTCTTTCATATATTTCTTGTAAAATTACGACTTAATGATTTGATAATTACTCAAATCTTCGGAAGACAATTCAATGCCAATACGTTCGTCATTTTAGTCTGAAATGGTCTGGCCGAAATGTAAAAATATAGATTTAAAAAATGTTTTTTACCGAGTTAACACAACGCATAGACAACGTTAACACCGAGGAAGACGCTCCAGTTGATGAGACTGCGGAAGTAGATGTGCAACCATCGACTTCTGGTATAAATAAAAAACCTTTTGAAGATTTATGCAAAATTCTTCTTCTGCAGAAGAAGAGGCGCTCTCTAACACTTTTAGATCATTCTGAGGAGGAATTAGTTTACGCTTAATGTGCTAAACCGAAAGAGTCTAACAAAACGAAATTAGCGACTACCTATAATCAAAGAACTGTTCCAAAACGAAAAACAGTGTGAAATAGTAGACAATCTTTTAACTGATAACTGTGTCTACCTGAAGATAAACGTTAGTGCTAGTTACATCATGTAATTTGTCAAAATGGCAATATCGCAATTTGAGATTCATTCTCACTTCAGAGAGTATTTATGAGCTTCCATCCTATCAAAAGCTTCTGGAAACAAAAAAAACTTGTTATCCTTCACAGAGAGATGATATTTGTGTGAGTTATCAATGATGGACATATTGTAAATTGGGCAACCTCTCGTATAAGCTACTTTTTGACGGCCAGCGGACCTATACATACAACGTTGTATTAAGTATTTCCCTTAATTTTTTATTTTATTTTATTAAAAGCTGATGCATACGAGCGCGCACGAGTGCGAGTCGTTGTTATGTGTCATCAAAGGTGTCCCTTATACACCATATTGTAATTTTGGCAATTTTTCGTGGAAATATTTAATATAAAAAAATCGATTTTTCAACCCTCGATAACTCAAAAGTACGCAGAGATAAGTGACAAGTATCTTCGCATGAAATACTCAGAATCACTTGTTTTATAACATGTGTGATCGGCATCTTGACATCGTTTAAGAATTTCGAAAAATTGACAGAAACGTAATTTCTTCCATACAAAAAATATGTATATATTTTTTTTTACTACGAAATAGACGTCGTAGGATTGTAATATTTTTTTGCCTTATGAGTTATCATAGCAGTAACCATCAAAAAAAATTTCGTGCCTCTAGCATCAATGTCCATGTTTTATTAAATCGGGACCACCGTGCGTCGTGACGTCAAGGTGTGGTTAAAAGTGTAGCACTTTGTGACGTCACGCGGAACTTCAACGCACCATAACTTCGTAGTTACTTGTTTGATTGACAAACAAAAATATACGGGTCCAATATTTTTTGATAATTATAATTGACAGACTAAAAGTTTTTTTTAGAAAACTAGCGTGTTCTATGTCCATTGTCCACTCACTAACATCTCATGATTTTACAGTAACCACTGTTACTAATAATAAGGTTATCCCGATATAATACTAATGAAACGAATTCCCGCTCTATGTTATAATTTTAAAAACATCAGCATTTCTCTAGAAGGCTCATATTTTGAAAACGACGCTCTGAAGGAAATATTAATATCAATAACTAGCTGACCCGGCGAACTTCGTACCGCCTTAGCGTAGAGATTTTCTTAATATTTTTTTCCGTAAGAACCATCCTTGGACTTCCACAAACATTTAAAAAAAAGAATTATCGAAATCGGTTTAGCCGTTCACACGTGATGCCGTGACAACGCGAAACGGGTTTCATTTTTATATATATAGATAAGCCAACCAAAAAATCTTATTAGGTACGCTTAACTCAGTCAGGGTCTGACATATTATGACGTCACAAAGAATACAAATCTAAAGAATATCTGAAGTCTCGCTCACGTTTGACGTCTCAAAAACATCCTCCCGTGTCGCTCCCATACCTCAGGCTCTCAAATTCAAAGCGCTAGACCTTATAGTATTTATTCTGTGAGTACTTGATTTTGAATAGTGTTCATAGTCTGGTCTGCGAGCACGTAGAATTTTGTCCAATGACCCCTAGATACCCATCCTAATCGCTCGCGCGTAATTATATTGCTGTCGCGACTGTGCGACTGGCACCCGCAGTGAGTGTGCGAGCGCGATAGCAACATAAATACGCGCGAGCGATAAGGATGGGTAGCTAGGGGTGATTGGACAAAATTCTACGTGCTCCCGGACCGGGCTTTAGAGTGGCGTTTCTTTCATGATATAAGCCTTAAGTTTCTGGACTGAGGGCGTGGTGTGAGTTTACATCAAACGTCGTCACTAGTAAGCGCGTAAAAAATGACATTAAGGCTGGGTTGCACCATCTTACTTTAACTGAGGCAAACGTCAAATATCTGTCAAACTCCATACAAAAAACACCGGTTATCGCCATAGTTGCACCATCTTACTTTAACTGAGACAAACGTCAAATATCTGTCAAACTCCATACAAAAAACACCGGTTATCGTCATAGTTGCGGTCAAATTTGGGTGGTACAACTCAGCCTAAATGTATGACGGATTGTACAGCGCCCCTAGCGGAACCTTTCAAGAACTAAAATTTTCATGTTTTTTTAACGCGATCACTATTGAGAACGTTTGATGGAAACTCACACTAAGCCCTCTGGATTTACATTAAAAACATCGTGGTCTGATTGCTTTAAAGAACAACATTATTGATTTTAATATCAGTAGCTACTATCTTGAATGACTAAAGTTCTAGGAAAGTTAATAAAAAATCTCAAGTTTTCGGAATGTAGATCAGACATGAAATAGGAAAGAGTACCTCTATACTAAAGAAATAAATTGGTACAACTAAATTTTAAATTAAGTGAACTTCTTCACTGAAAAGTTTTATAACATTCAGTTAAATATTTGCGCAATATTAATAAATTTTCACGCCAGGAAAATACGCACAAAGTGTTAAATAAATTAAATTAATTCGGCCTTTAAATTAATTTGCCAATGCTCGCACGCGCAAGCATCTAAGCATAGAGTATGAAGCGGCACTTTTATTTTAAATTGCTGACTGATTGACTGTCAGTCAATATTTGAGGCTTCCGGCGACTGGGACCGCAATTAACTAGGACCGCGGTCCCAGTCGCCGGATCCATAAAAAAAAACATTTTTCTTCCGGCGACTGGGACCACTCATAGATAACTTAAAAGAAAATATTATTCAATCTAAAATTGGTACAGTACTAAAATCCATGAGTGGTCCCAGTCGCCGGAAGAAAATTATTTAATTTTTACGCATCCGGCGACTGGGACCGCGGTCCCAGTTAATTGCGGTCCCAGTTGACGGAATCCTCAATATTTGTACAATACCTATTAGAGGCAAGAAAACTGACGAGTATTGTTATAAATGTATTTACGAGGGCGGCACTGAAAATTTCGGGAATCAAGGAAGTGAAACAACATTACTATTTAAAAATGTATTTATTGCTTTTTAAAGTATTCTCCGCGAAATTTGACACATTTTTCCATACACGAAACCAATCATTGAAGCAACCATTTCATTCGGAAGTTTGGGTCTCCAAAATGGCCGTTTTGTAGGCTTCCACAGCTTCTTCAGGTGATGAAAATCTCTGACCACGCAATTTATTCTTTATTTTAGGGAAAGTATGGAAATCATTAGGGCTTAGGTCGGGGCTGTACGGCGGATGGACTAATAATTCTATGTTTTCTTGCTCTAAAAACTCTTTTGTTCAGTGCGCAGTGTGAGAACTCGCATTGTCGTGATGGAGGATGATGCGGCGGTTGCAGTTCTCTTTACGGAGTTCAGAAACGACCTGTGGCAAACAAATGCTAGCATACTAATCTGCATTAACCGTTCTTTGTCC